ACTGGAGTTGCTGGTGATACAAGGGAATGTGTGTGTGTTAAAGTAACATAAATGACTGGTCGATTAGCCGATTAGTTGACGTAAATAAGATTAAGATGAATAAGATTGACTATTTTGATTAAATTATCTTTTGAAGTCATTTTTCAGGTAGAAATGCACAAAGCGCTGCTAATCCCAGCTTCTCAAAGCTGCCAAATGATTTGCTGTATTTGGGTTTTGGACTAGGCTCAGGCTTCCATGGCGGTTCATCACTAGGTCATGGTATTTAATCTTTTTCTGCTTCGTAATCTCCGTCGTGAATCTGCTGTTTTTACAGTTTCACAACTGCCTTCAGTAAAGAACGGCCAACAGAGTGTTTAGCTTGCTGCACATAGTGAAGGAAAAAAGTGAAATTGCGATTGCAGTTCTCAACTATCTTTTGACAGATGATTAATCAATGAATTAATAAGTGTCAGATGAATAGGTAATATATAATATATTTTTGTCAGCTGTAGCCCTACTAAACTTTTTAGAAAAAAAGTATTACAAAGAAAAATAAAATACTGATAAACACAAATAACAAAAAGACACATCTTAGTAAGTATAGGTTTACCACAGACGCTTTTATTTTGAATTTTAGAGCGTTGAAGTGAGCCCCATCTGTAAAGTTCAGGCTGCATTCCGGTTCATGAGAGGTAAAAGTGCAAAGTCACTCTCACTGACAAGAATAACAGCCTGTGAGAAGGTCAATTCTCTCAAACCACTGAGAGGCAAAGGAAGGGAGCATTAGTATGCTGCCCACATCGCCGCAGCATTATCAGCCTCATGCAGCAACTCTCCCTCCACAAAAAACATCAGTACATGTTTACTCTTACTATGGGAGTAGACCACAAAATGGCAGCCACGCATGTAACAACGCCACCAACTTTACATGCATTTATTACTGTACATAATTTGTAGACGGGACAAAGAGCAGTTTCCTTAAATGCCATCTGGGTAAATCCATAATCCTCTCTGTCAAAACAAACCCGCTGGTGTTTTCTCCTTATAGGAGATGGTGCTCAGATTAAGAGACAGGTCTGCCAACGGCGCATTACTCAAGCCCTCGTTGACGTGTATATAGCAAACATGATATCTCATGACAACCGCTGGCAAATACTACAGTTCCTCGAGGCATATGATTTACGTTTCAAGACCATTTTAGTGCTTGAAAATATGCAGTTGTCGGCCAACATGAATAGGAAACCGAGTCTCTCTTCAGAGATTTGGGTTCACCGAGGCGCCATCTTGGTAACACCACCCGGGACTAAATTTGTGACTAACAAGACAGGTCTCCTCCCCTCAAAGAATAGTCCTCTATATCTTCCGTTCCTTGCAGAGTATTTCAACCACATATTTGGGAACACTGGTGAATTCTTTACAGCATGGGAGTGTTCCCCTGGAAATTGGCCACTTCCACTCTTGCCTAGTGAACGCTGATGAGGGTAAAGATTGTCTTGGTAGGAAAGTAAACACGGTGAATAAAAGTCGACAGGGTGGGATAGAGAAAGGAGGGGCGTATCACTTTTTGTTCTTTACTTCTCAATATGTCCTCTGCCGCTAACAGAACTTTGTTACTTCTTCTCGCTCATTGGCCGGGCCGATGGCTACAGGCTTCCTGGAAATGCTCCCTCTTATTTTAAGGACAGTTTCTATAACGAGTTCACACAGAGCAGCCACCGCTCGCCTTTGTAAAGACATTTCAATGAGGCCACTGACAGGTGGTCTTCAAAAGAGCAAGGAGGCATAGCTGGCGAGTGAGCTACAGAGCCAAGTGCTCCTTTCATACAATATTCCTTTTCTTAACTCCCCTGACAGGGTTGAAGAAATATAGCATTAAAAAAGCACACACATCTCTCAAATGTTTGTAGAGGAATATCCGTTTCAGACTGACCTCTGTTCCAATCAGACGCCAAACCGCTCTTTCTAAAGCCAATGCTTGCAATGTTACAATGATGTAATGTGTGTTGCATAAATAATCCACGAGACAAACATTTATCACAAACAGCCTGTTTTATTTTTCTATTAGGGAGCTTAAGAAGCTGTGGGACCAGCTTGGGGAGAAGCCTGCTGTGTACTGGAGGGTCTGGGTGTGTGTGTGGGGGGGAGGGTTACTGGCATGGAGCTGAGTAGTGAGCAGTGTTAGCTGCAGTGTGAGGCCAAAGGGGCCCCCTCTGTGCTCCCTCTGCCCTGGAGCAGGAGCCAAGGCGTTCTGGGATGCGTTTCAAGAGCAATAAACTTCCCCAGCATTTTAGAGATGACATTTGGAGGTATCAGCATGCTAAGCCTGGGAGGGGTTGGCCCATTGCTCTGCCGACGCGACCCTGGGAGCTGCCACTGGCTTGTCTGCGCCGAGGGGATTTGTGTCAATGCCGGGGCCTTAAAATACCACGCCCCCCTTTCCTCCTGTCTACGCTTCACTCGCCCCCAGACTGACTTGAATGACACAAATTCACTTTCCCTCACCTCATAATATCCATTTATTCTCCTGCACGGGACTAAACACATCAACTTGTAATGTTTTGTGATTATTAAGTTTCATTTTGCAGTCCTCATTCAGTCCAGCCATCATCCAGATTCAGCTGAAAGGCTACATCTGTGCTCGAATTACTAAATGTATCGGGCCTCATCAGACGAGATTCCTGTCAGCTCTGACCAAAGGTGCGGCTTCTGTGATTGCATTTTGTTAGCTGTCGCCTGCTTCCTCCTCATCAGTTTCTCTCTCTCTGGCACTCGGTGAGCCGGGGTGAGGCACAGACAATTACTGGGAGCCTGTTGTTCATTTACTCCCACAAGGCCGAGAGGCGGAGGTGATGAAGCAGCTGTTGGTTGGCAAACTAAATGAAACGAGCACACACACACACACACACACACACACACACACACACACACACAGTGCATGCCTAAACAGCTCTGTGTGAGACTTGTCATGCAGAGAAGTGGGGGGACTGCTCAGCCTCACTGCTAATCAGGATGCCTCTGCTGTTTCTTTGGGGCCCTCTGTTTGTTGCTCTTCCCTGGTACTCTGATTTGCTTGATTTCCTCATTTGGTTCTCATTTGCTCAGTTGCACCACAATAAGAGAAGTCTGCTTTCACGGGTCTCTCAGGGAGAAAATGGCAGAGTGGCAGCACAGTTTGAAATCAGCAGCATCTGGGCCTCTTTCATTTGAGAAGTAGCCAGTGGGCTGTTTGGGGCTCGTACCATTAAAACGACGTCGAGCGCACACACATCTCTGTGTTGTTCAATGTAGTGTGCGAAACGTAATACGACGGAGGCTGTTGAGAAATGCCTCCTTGGAAACTACAGATTCAATCTTGTATTTTAGGAGCACTGACTACACTGACAGCTAAAACGGACAATTACATATCTGGTACGGATTCAGGAACAGCACACGTTTCAGCTACAACAGAGTTCTGGAAAAAAAGCTGAAGCTGATTTTGTGTCTTCAAACGTTGTGCATGTCGATGCGGCAAAACACATACCACACAACTGAGGGGACGCTTCATACTTCCAGGTCTGAAATATATCTCTTCATCCTTTATCACATGATAGAGGGTTTTTATTTTGTCTGAGAAAAAAAAAAAAAAAAAAAAAAACTTCAAAGAGAGGGAAGTGGGTTAGCTTCACTCGTCTCAACAACTCTGATGGCCGTAACAACCTGTGTGCTACACCTGCAGAGTGCCCCCCCCCCCCCCCCCCACTTTAAAACCACTCAAAAGCTCCCACCAGCCTCCACCCCACTGAGCCGGATAGAGTAGAATCAGAAGAAAACACAGCCCCATCAGGCCAAACCACTACCTCTTTCAGCCAAAATAGCAGCTTTGAGAGAGTGAGTGCAGGCAAAGGACAGACTTGGACGGGGAAAGGAAAGGGGGCAGGGCAAGGGGGGGGGTCAATCACTCTGTGGGAGGCAGAGAACGAGGGAGCACAAACATAGTACTGGTGTTGGCTCTGAGCCATGTTTGTGTCACTAACAGAAGTAGCCTTGTCTGTCTCCCCCTCCCCCCACAAACCCCCTGCCTTGCACTCATTCTCTCCCAGTTTGCTTGGAAACAGAGTCAAGGGGTCCGGCTGGATGCTTGGTAACAGAAAAAAAGGGTTGCAATAGAGAAGAGAACAGGGCCCAGGGCCGGAGCAAAAATCAGGAAAAAAAAAAAGAGAGGGGGGAAAAAAGCCACTCAATAGCAGGGACTGTGCTTTGGGAATGTTGATGAGGACCTTTTTTTCTGTTGGGTTCCTCCAAGTGAACCAACGAGCAGCTCTGTGGATGTGTGGGCGATTTGTACTCAGCATGCCCGCAGAGAGACCGAGCACGAGCTGCTTTGAAGATTAGGTGTTTGCATTATTTCACATGCGCGACAGAAAAAGGAGGGGGGGTTTTTCAGACCCAGCAGAACCCGATAGTGCTAGTGATGCATCTTAAAATTAAATAAGCTGAATGTGGCTTGGATCAAAAGGGGGGGAGCTGAGAGTTTGAGATTTCACTCGGACTGCACTGCAGGAAAAGGAGCCAACTATAGTCCCAAATGGCAGCCTTGCAATAATAAGTGCTTTGTGTTATGAGGCATGTTGTTTCTGAGAGCAGATATCTCTGTGCAACAAACTCCCGTCTGCGTACTCCCGAGCAAAAAAACAAATCAAGGCCACCTAAGAACTGCCTGCCAACTACTATTCTTGTTGGCAATACTATGCAGCATGTGGGCTGTTAAAGCACGCATTAGTACCACCAGCTCCTGAGGCAGTCAGGGCATATCCAATTACATTTAAGCAGTCGAAATATGTACCATAATGACAGCAAGATGATTATTTCTTTAGACGACAGAGCCTTGAAAAACCAATACCTCTTTGACGTCTTCGTACAACCACACTGGCTATGTAAATAAAAACTTACCCACATATTTGTAGCTTTTTTTTCTCCCCCCTTTTACAATCCAGGACTCATTTGTTCCACTAAACAGCATGTTAAACCGCTCCACTTACCGTCTTCAGTTTCCTGCCACACGATGCCTTCCAGATTGACACTCGTACCGGGCTCGCAGGGCCCCAAGCACTCGGGTTCGGTAGCCAGGGCCACGTCGGATGTGTTCACGGCCACCGAGCGTGTGCGCACCATTATCTGCTCACACGGCGAGGAAATCTCACTGTTGCCTACTGTGGCCAGGAGGTGGAGGGGGGGAGGAGCTGGCGTGGAGACAGGAGATTCCATCTGTGGAGAGGGAAGTGGGGGGTTTGAGAGAAAGAGAGAGAGAAGGAAGCACATCAGACACTTCAGAACCACTGTATGCACACATGTGTGAAGATACAGCCAGCGGACGCCACACTGAAGGCATCTGCATGGAAGTCATGCGAGTATGCTGCTGGCTAGCAATCTTAAACCAGAGCAAGAGTGATGCAGCACTTAGTGTTGTAATAGACTTCTGTGTCTTTCCTCAACCTTAGAGGCGATTAGGAGGCAGGGGAGACAGGGAGGGACATGTGAACTGCTTTCACTACTGTGGAAGAACAGAATTAGTGATGCAGGATTGGTTAAACAGCCCCTCCCCCAGCTTTCCCTCCCTCGCACGCCGCCGAGCGAGACCCGTGACACCGAATCATCTTACGGGCCGATCACTCATTAGTTCCCTCGACTAAAGAGCCAGTTGCGGTGAGGGAGTGTGTGCTGCTGAGGGTCAGTAATTGATTCCACCTGTTCTGACACACTGTGACAGCAGCGAAGAGACAGCGGGCCGACGTGGAAAAAAAAAAAACTAAAATGAAAAGGAACAGGAAGGGAGGGAGACGATGAGCACGCCAGAGACAACTGGAGGAAGAGAAGTGTGTAGGCGGAAAAGAGCCGGAGAGAGGAAGACTAATGGTGATTTAAGGGCCACGGTGACACCGGGCTTAGTGCTCCTCGTTCAAGGCAGTCGACATTAAAGCGCTCCAAATCATTAGCACTGAACTGCAGGAGGAATGCCCCGCCGCAGCCAACACCACACATTTATTAATTGGGTATAAACCCATTCAGTGCTCGGGCATACGCTGCCAATGCTGGATCCCATTAGACTTAGAAGACAAAAAATAATAATTGACACGTTGGCTCATGAGCTTGTGCGCCCTTTAAATAATAGTTTTAATCTACTTACTGTTCCTAACGGAGCATGATGTGGAGAACTCAATCTAAGTTACTGCTCAATCCTGATCAATGTGGGGATGAAAATGTTGGTACAATGTCATGGTCCCCAGAAGATGTATCCCAATGATTGCTGATCCCACTTGATGTTTCCTCTAGCGCCACCAGCGGGTCTAATATTTAATGAATCGTAAGAAAAATCTCAGCATTTACTAGATGGACTAGTACCAAATTTTCATTCATGGTTCCCAGATGATGAATCCTACTTTCGATTAGTCCATTGACCAAAAAAAACTATAAAACTACTGACATTTAGTCTCCACTGTACTTGGTATAAAGCTGCATTTAATGCTTTTAGAGTGGCATACAAACATCACTAGGATGCTCTGTTACTACATTTAGACTAGACTTGCAATCATGCAAGAGCAAAAGCTTACTATGATAACCTACCGAATAAAAGCATGAACCGTGTCAGGAAGACGGATGAGAAAGATCAGCATTTAAATATTATTATGTTGTGTCTCCATTCAAGATGTATTTTTAAAACATATGATTCTGAATTCATTTCTGTCAATTTCAATGAGCTTGATTATTTGAGATTGAGAATGTGATTGATCGTGATCTATAAATCTAAATATTTGAGAGCGATACGGCCATGAATTAAGCCGTGTGACACATTTCAGATCAATCACCGAATGAGGAAACGGAATCCGTGATGAACCGAGGGCTTTGAAACACCAAAACATTAGTCCCTGATGAAATTTAATATTAGCTCAAGACTTGTCATCACGGAAGCTCCATATTTCATGGTTTACAGAAATGAGCGTGGATAGGCCCGTTCCTCCCGGTGCTCAGAGGACGAGCAAATTAATGTGTGCAGGCGAGCGACGGAGAGCGAGGCCCTAACGACATCGTAATCACCGCGTGTCAGTCTCTGATGCACGATGTGGCCGAGCTACAGGCCGGCTGAGTGAATGAGACGGGACAGGTAATCACCCGAGCTGTCACCGCACACTGTTCCCTTATGGAGACGCAGAGAGCCGCAGACATGACCACACAATGAACCCGCCTTCACAGTGACAGCCATCGGTGAAAGGTGCACACAGGTTCACGCAGAGCGTCCTCGAAATTGACTCGACTGAGGCGACTTAATAACGGCCTGGGAATAACCTTTCCTTAATTAAATTGTTAGGTTGGGTAGTAAGCTCGTATTATTAAGATTCACATTGTCAATTTCCTTCTTTCTTTTAGTGGGCCGTGCTCATCAATAGACTCAGAGGCCCAGGCGTATTAAGGACTCATGTCAAGGTTTGTTTACTTAGTTGATCTACTGTCGGGTGAGAGCCGACATCTGTTCGCCTGCTTGTCTTTTGCTAAAGATTGTTAAACCGACGACTTCCACAGCAAACAACCAAACTTGGACAGGAGCTTCTTTTATTAATACCATTTGTGTTGGCGACTCATCTGGAGACAACAGGAACCCCTCGCAAGCCAGCCTTCAACTTCTTCCCTTTAGCCACTAGTATTTTCTCCGACACATGCACACCATTAGCTAAAAAGTGACCGTAGCCGGCATACCCTTTACTTGATTAGGAAAGAGTGAAAAATGGCTAATGTCTTGTTTTGTCCAACCAACAGTCCAATACTAGAAAGACCTTTTCAGACGACATTAGCATTCTGAATAGCCCCTTTGTATTTCCTGTTGCATTATTTGCGAAAGCAACAGCTGACAGGAAGGAAACTTGGACCAAAGCTGTTGCCGTAGCACAGAACCATAGTGAAAATGTCTATATTCAGTTTACAATGACCAAACAGAGAGAAGCTGAAAGCTATTTTTGTCATTTTTCCTTAAAAGAAGTGACTGAAATGATTGATCACAAAACTTCGGTCCACCAACGACTCAATTAATCAACTAACTGCTGCAGTTCACGCTCACGCCTGATCAGGTGATCAGTAATAAACCCCAAATTTAAATGACAGGAGGCTAACAACATTTGGATGAATTAAAGAAAAGAACAAGTCAAGCGTCGAAGCAGAGAAAACTCTCCCATTGATTTGTTTTAAAAACACTGAACGCTGGCGATTCCCAGGAGAATCCCATCCAATATTCCAGAAGTCGATACATGTTCTATGAATTAAATCATCTTGATGAAATTCACAGCCATGTCTTACATTTTTAGATTGAGTACAACCTTTCCTTGATGGTCTTTGACTTCATCTTTACCATTTAAATCCTGGTACCAAGCAAGCGAAAAAAAGAGAAGAATGAAGTCTAACTGCCCAATAAAAGAACCATTCTCTAATATATAATGGTGTAAATTAATTACAATAGGACCACAACGGACATGGGACCAGTGTACAATGTGCATGAACAGTGGCGCTCCATTTCCAAATTCGATCAATGGAGGAGTGAACAAAAGGACTTTCACTCTGAGGCTGCATGCCTGACGTCTTGTTCAGTTTTGTTTTCTCGAAAAACCCACATGGGACCAAACTACACAACTTGTCAAATTACACAAGGCTCAACTCGATGCTCAGCCGATGCCAAATTCCATGATTCCTTCCCTCCTTGCGAGACTTTACAAACGGATTTTTGAAATCTCCCCCTTAAAACCACACAATGCCTCAGTGTCACGCAAACCTTTTCTTAACTGAAACCCCATGCCGACTACTGGAGAGAGCCACAACAGGCAAGAATAATGTCGAACTGACAGACAACAATCCTGTGAATCTGAAAGCACACCTCACGGCGCTGACAAAGTCTCGGCCTGGATTTGCAGTGATCACACAATAACTCACCCGTGGCAGACTAGACACTTGCTGCACTCTTTTTCTGGACACATTAACTTGGGCTTTAACTTGTTTATTAGAGTTGGGATTAAGAAACTGAGCGCTGAGCTCGGGCGAGGATTACTAAAGGATTACTCTGCGCTGGCATACAGAGACACCTGTCTACGCTGTACTCTGGGCGACTGGGCGGTGCGGAGCGAGAAGACAGTTGACCAACTAATGTATTGTGGGGCTGCATAATTATAGTTGTGTTTTTAATAAATAAATAGTCATCGCAATGTCAACTTGCATGATAAACACACTGTGAAAGGTTGATATTGCACTCAGGGATTTCTTTTTCATTGGTGCTTTTTGTATTCAGTTAAATTTTCAATTTGTTCAATAAAAGAACATTGGAAATAATTCCCTTTCGTCTTTGCTTTTGTTTGTTCAACTGAATACATCTTAATATCCGTTTATTCATGGCATATAATACAAGTAATATCGTTATCGTGATATTTCTCTATCACCCTACTCACTATTAAACTTTTGGAGACGTGGAAAAATGGCCGTTAATGTCACAATAAATGAGCTAGATGATTTGTTTTTGTAATATCATTTGGTGTGGTCGAGTTTGTTCGTGTTAATCACACTGTCGTACAAACAAAAGGACATGTAAGGGAGCCAACAGCTGACTGTTATCACGGATCATTTGCCATCAATAAAGCCACAGTAAACCGCTGGACTGGTTTTGTTGAGCCAGCTAAAAGTATCAAGGCTCTGGATTTAAAACCATGTGACCTTGTGATGTTTGATACAGATATTATCGTTTCTCAACAACGAGACCTTTCATGCACAAACCTCATGTTTGACACAGGATAATAAATCTGTTCATGGTCACGGTTTACCCTTTCATGTGCGACTGCTGTTACAAGTCACAGAGAATTATGTCTGCAACAGTAGTTCAATACACATCACCGCTAAACCATTAAATCACATTTCTTTCTGGTGCCTTTTCTGCATTACTTGCTATAAAATAAGCACGATAAGCAGCTTCTCTTTTACATGCCGATTCTGTGCACCCGCTCATGATTTCTTTCTCGATTGAAATGCAGTTTGAACGGCATTAACATTAGGAGAGATACCCGTGCTTGATAGAAGTCTGTGTTTACCATTTCATACCAGAATCGAGAACGGCGCTTCACCCGAGTTGGAAACAGGGTCCTGAGGTCAAGTCAGATAGCGCACACTGGGTAATTTGGATTACCTGCAGATCTCAGTCTCTCTCTTTATCATAAGATAGCTCTTTATGGGTCAATCTCATT